GATGCCCATTGCAGGATAGGAGGCTTAAGGCTTCTTCTGAGCTCAGCCTCTGCCCCGTGAGAATAGGGATGGAGGAGCAGCAGAGGGAAAGGACACTTAAGCTGAAGTCCTGACTGAGCAGCATTTCATGCCAAGAACTTGGGCAATTCTGAATCAGAGGCTGCTTCCGTCCTAGAGACATGAGCCCCTGAAAGAGGCAGGAGACAACAGAACTCTCACAAGTCTGTAACCCCATGCCCTGCAGGCAGAGCTGGCCAATGTGTCACAGCAGCAGCATGCATCCAAGGAGCAACTCCAGTGGGACTCGGGCTTGGCACCAGCTGGGTAGGAGGAAATTTTCAAATCCAGCATCCAACATACTGGACCAGGGCCCAGTGAGGCTGTATGACCTCCAGCCTGGGAGACCTGCAGCACCAAGAGGATGAGGCCCTGGGGCAGCTTTGAGAGGCAGGGCCACTTGAGCAGGGATTGGACTGGTGGCCTCCAGTGGTCCCTGCCTGCCGGAATCCCTGTGCAGGCCTGCGGAAAAAAGCCAGTCTTGTGCTGGGTTTCAAAGTACAGTTCATGACTGATGCATAATGAGCCCCAAAAGCAGAATTCAGCAGGAAAAGTGCCTTTGATTTCAATGGTTTTTATTTTAGGTTATACATGACCTGTTGGTGTAATTATTTCAGTGAATTATTGAGAGATGTTATCACTGGGTGCAAAGTGGCCTTAAGTAAGATCTGTGCTTGAAGCAGCCGCGAGGACTTTTCTCTTTGCAGAAGCTGTTGGGTTCAGCAGGTCTCCCTCTTCCTCCCTCTCACACTGGGATCCTTTCCTTGTGAGTAAATGAGTGATTGTTGCACAACGTTTCTCTGCAAATGAGTGTTTGAGGAGGCCTTGACTGGATTGCACAACCTTACTTGGTCACAGTCTCCCAAAACACTCCTGTCTGCTGATGGCTCATGTGAGGGCCAAAGCACGAGTCACGGCGTGACCATCTTGACTAACCAGGAGTGGCCACAGATCACCAGACTGGACTGCTTCCTCCTTGCCTGGGCTGCAGCATGAGGAAGCCCCATGGCAAAGCAAATGAATAAAACCGTATGGAGCATTTAAAAATGCCCATTTCATTCCCACATTTGACCTTTTGTTTTTTTATTCTCACTGCCCAAAATGTCAGGTATCAGTGCAGTACCCTGGGCACCAGGGTCCAGAGGGAGGCATGTGATGAACCACTCTGGTAGCCTCCACGCTGGGGACTCAGACCCTTCCCAGAGCCACCAGAACAACAGCACGTTTGCTCCAGACAGGCTATTTCTGCATGGCCCTAGTGCATGCAGAGCCTGAGTACAGCTGCTGAGCTGTGAGCTTGAAGAGGCAGCAGCCATCGCTGTCCTGGGATGCTCCAGGATCCCATCATACAGGTCACCTCCCAGTTTCTGTTCCCTGACAAGGCAGGGCTGTGGTCGGGCTCTGGAGGAGCCGTGTCACCCCTGTACCCCAAAGATGTATGTTTCATGAAGTTGTTGCTGGTGGTTTATAAAATGTGACCAAACAGGCCAGGTGCCCCATGGCCTCCCCACTCTGCACCGAGCCCTAGCACAGGGATTTTCTTCCAGGCAGCTCGCAGGCAGGCTCAGTTCCTTGCATTACTGTCAATAATCTCTGAGCTGGGGACAGCCCTGGCAACCTTAGCAAATCAAATCAGAGCTTTGCAGTTGTTATGCCAGAGGAAAACGTGGCATGTGCAATATGCGAGCCTTTGTGAAAGCCCACAGGAATTCAGCTGGCACTCTTGCATTTTGAAAACTGGGATCTGCAGGTCTGATTTAGGGACTAGGCTTTGATTTGAGCCAATTTGGACTGCAATGCTTTAGCACTGTTGTGGTTTCCATGGGCTCCACTTATCAGTTGTATAATTCAGTTCCCTCTTGCCCTGAGGTCCAGCTGCTGACTCAGACATCCCAGGACACTGCAAGGTGCTGGAACACTTTGCTTCATCAATCTTTTGTTCAACCCTGGCCAGTGCAAAGTCCGGTTGCTCTCCGGAAATACCCAGAAGATCAGTCCTAGCTTCTTTCCTTGCATGTTTCTACTTTAGCCTCATCCCCATCAGATTACTTCAAGCTCATTAACTGTATAAAGATAACCTGATGAGCCCAGGGACTTTGGTAGACATATACACCTTTGCTTCTGGGGCTTACAATAACTTGCAGCAGCCACGACAGAACTAAGCTGCTGGTCAGACCCCGCATCTCTGTGTCTGGCACTGGGGACCCACAGTCCTGCTGTACATGAACCCCATGTAGTGTGATACCTGTGCACAGGCGACAGGAGGTGAGGTGGGTGTATGGCTTGGAGTCCTACCGATGGGAGTGAGGAGGCCAGTGGGAGGTGGGGCAGAGACCTAGTCTGGGCCCATGGTTTGTGTGGGGAATGGGCGTGAGAGGTGTGTAGGGTCTCCTTTGAGAGAGTCAGTGCAAACCAGACAATTTGGGGAGTGTTTCTGGGGGGGGAGGGTTGAGAAAAAAGGAAAGTTGGTAAGTGATGCTGCATAGAGGTTGGACCCTCCTGCTGCCACAGCCCTAGGGGTGACAGTAAAGATTGTCCTCAGTGTGGCCAACATGGAGCAGGTCAGACTTTGGGACATATGCACATTAGTGACAATACCTATGTTGGAAGCAGGACAACAGGCCTCTTGGTGTGCAGGGACTTACTGGCAGTGCTTTCACCACTGGGGAAACTGCCATGAGTTCACCCAACATGCAGGGATGGTGGTGGGCTGAGGAGCTGGGCAGGGTGAGGACACGTTACCTCACAGCCAGAGTGCTCAGGGGACCCTGTACCACCTCCCCAGTGAGGGCCTGACACTGATCCATCAACACACAGCATCCAGGGAAGCAGAAGGATGAGAGCTGACGCCCTTGCCACAGCCTTCAGGATGGATGTGGGGAAGCTGCTGTTGGGGCTGAGAGGTCCCAGAGCCATGAAGGTTCCCTGGGAGCCTGTGCCACTGCTAAAGCAGGGAGTGGGACAGTGGGTAGCATCAGGGGCAGCCCCAGTCTGGGGCCTGAGCAGCTCCCTGGGGATGGGGACTAGCAGAGGTCAGGCTGGGAAAGAACTGTGGGGAGCTGGAGACCAGCACTGCTACAGTATCAGCAGTATTGGGGTGGCACTGGAAGCAGCAATGCCTGTGTGTGCCCTCAGAGCCCTGAGAGCAGCATCTCCTTCGTCAGACAGTACTGAGAGCCTGTGTGTGAGGTTTAGCCATGCCATCCAGAGTGGCACCCAGAATGCAGCCCAGGCTCCCAGCAGGAGCACGCTGCCCTGCAGAAGACTGACAGCAGTACGAGGGAGGGGTTCAGCTCCAGCATTCTTACCAGAGGCAAGGTGGAGGTGCCAACAGCTGCACGTGAGCAGAAATAACCATGACTTTGGAGTCAGCTCAGTACGGGTGTCACACACTGCAGAGTCTGCACATGATGTCCTCAAAACCAAGATTACTGTTATTCACTGTTCCTTATTCTTTGTTGTTCTCCCTTCCCCACCAAGATGTGCAGCAGCCCAAGCTGGCAGATGCACAGCACTGGTTTGCTATCTGTATGCAGATTTGGCCAGCGTACGCTACGGCTGAGGCATGCAGACACAGACATTTCAAGGCTCAGAGACTTAGTAACCAGCTATGTGTGACACCACTTCACCTTTGGAGCTCCAGGAGTCAGGCAGGCAGCTCTAGAAACTTGGCCCAGTGTGTCCCAATTTTTTTTTTTTTTTAATGGAGGAAACAATAGCAGTTTTGTGCAAAACCCACAGTAACACACTTTCTTTCCAGTCAGAGCTTTGCTAGGCTCGATCCCAAGGTTGTGTAGCTGCAGTGGAGGTTACGTGCCTCTTGCATCCAGACTATCCAGTATCTAATGCTCACAGTGGGAATCTTGTCTGAATGAAGGCACTCGGAAGACATGGATCTGTCTTGCAATTAAGGCTCCTGCTTCCATTATCCAAGCCTGAAATACTGTTTTCAAATTTCAGAAAATGCATTTCTACATTGGTTCAATTTATTGTGAATTCAGGTTTGCAGGGAAACTTAAGTCTGCAATGACTGAAAGCACAAGTAGAAAGGAGAATTAGCAAGTTCTGTCTACAACAGCCTGAATTTATTAATGTAAGAAACTGGTGGGACTTAGAGTCACAAAAACACTAGAGAAAATGACATCTAGGTAAAAAGGGACAGGTATTTAATTCTAGCTCATTTTGATTTCCAAATTTTCATCTGGTTTGCTATACTGGGAAAAATATTAAGTTTCTTTACAAGCACTTATTTAAAAATAATTGCACCATACCACACATGGAAATAAATACACAATTACCCAATGACACTATTATACAATCAATGTGACTAAACTGCTGTACACTTAAAACTGATGGTGAAGACTTTCAATCTTTAAAAAAAAAAAATAAATGCATTGATGAAAATGCCTATGCTACCTGATTTCAGTGAGAAATAGATGGCAGAAAATGTACTCTTAGGATCATCTTGCATGGTCTGTAATTCTGTGGATTGCAAAGGCAATGACATTTTGTAGCCAGCAAGCCAGAGATAGAGTTCTGCTACAGATGGTAACCCTATGCCTCTGAATACATCAGACAAGACTCAGTTTATTCAAACTGTGTGAACAGATACTGTAAGGTGTTAAAGACAGCATTGTGGTGTGTGTGCACACCTTTCACAGGCCTTGTGCACGGAAGTGATTCACACCTGCCATAGTTTACTATGAAGTAAATGTCAAGTTTTCTGTAAGATCTCTGGGTTTTCTCCACTGTGCATTCATGCTCTGAGATGTCGGCTGGCTGCCAGCAAGATGTTCTGAGGTTTGATACTTCAAGTTTTCCAGAAGATGAATGTTCTCCTGAATGCTCTTTTTATTTCTGCAAATGAACTCTGCTGAGAAATGCTCTGTATTTGGACAGCATCTACAATTAGCATATCTGCCCTGTGTCAAAAGCCATGCTCCAGAGACCTTCTGAGGTCTGCAGATATCAGAGGATCTCACGAGATAAACTATCCAGCCCTTCCAGGATGACAACATACACTACAAGAAAAGCAGCACAGCCCTTAGGGAAAGTCTAACTCTTTGACAATTGGAACCGGTGGGGTTTTATGGTCTATTGGTTTATAAATAAAATGGAAATCTTTCTTGGTTTCGCACTTCAGGAGGGATGCTTTTATATGGTGAGGAAGGGCATCTTTGTCCAGCTGCAGCCACTGGTCATCAACGTAAACAAAGAGTCTATAGTCCTTGGGATGGGAGACTTCAAACTTCTCGGCACACTGCTGGCTCAGCTGCTCAACTGTGGTGTCTTTTCGGGAAGCAAGTGTCCTTGACTGAGCACCAATTTCCAGAAAGGAGATAGAGATGAAATCCTGAAGAGAAACATGAGGATAGATCTTAAAGTTGACACTGTGACTTAGGACAGAAGGGGGTAGCATTCAGCCCCAAAGCACTACCTGCCTAGAGCTCCTAAATGCCCTCAAATATCCTCCAATCATTCTCCAATGCCCCGGTTATTCTCTCCTTTCTCACTTCTGAAGGACAAGCTCTGAATCAGCAAATGCTTAAACTAACAAACACTTAACCGAAGACTTAGCCCTTTAAAGACACGTAAGTGAAAGCTTTTTTCTGATTTTGGTGACTATCCTTAGTGAGCAGTCTGAAACAGTTCCTTCTCCTACTTTTCTACAACTCCTGAAGAAATAGGATGCAAAGAAGTAACAGAACAGAATAACAATCCCAAAACCTCAGAGATCTGGCCTGAAAATCCCCTGTCTCATAGAAACAGGAAAAGGTTGGCAGTGTGGTGACCCTTGCAACTTCCCTGCCACACAAACAGCACCTTGAGAGTGTGTCCTGCAAACTTCCTTCCATCAGTAATGAAACAGCAGAAGGAGTTATGCTGAGAAAGCTGTTTTCTTTCTATCCTGTTTCAGGCTTTAATTGCTGTTGGGATGTTTTTGCCAGACTCATGAGGAACAGAATCTAGAGGGCTTTCAGTCACAGTGGAACCTGAATGTTTAATTTGTATCTGTGAAGTTTAAAAAAAATCCCAACCATTTTAGTCAAAAAATACTCAGGTTCATCAGAAGTGAGTTTTGTCAAATATGTGGACTATGGGTTTTCAAACTGTACTTATGGAGTGTCACTGCAGATGACTAAGGCAGCCAGAGGGACGTGCAGGAGCCTGCTGAACACATCAGTAAGATGTTTACATATGCCAGGATGTGCTTGTATGTCTCTGATTCATTCTAAGGAATGTAAAATGGTCCTTATGCTTCGGGGGGGGGGAATCTTCTGAGGAAATGCAGCATTTGCTCATTCAGCTATTATGCTCCATGCTAGGTACTTGCCATGAGCTACTGCCAGAGCAACACTTGGGGCTGGATGGCTGTTTGGTGTATCCCATCCATCATTCTCGCGTTCTGAGATCATCAGGGACTGCTTTGACCACACTATGGGAAACATAATCAACTCAACGCTTTCACAGGGCTATATGGTCTGCGTCTCCCGCTCGGGAGACTTTCCCCTGGCTTTCCCCTCGGCTTCACAATTTTGTTTCGCACTGCGAAGGCTTTACAGAATCGAGACGTGGCCTTTGCTGCCTCCCTGTGGCTGACAATTTGATCACAGGACATCGGGCTGGCGCGGCACCACCATTGCTTGGTCCTGCACCCACCCTCACCGTGGCTGGAGGCCCAAAGCACCCATCCCTCCTGGGACCGTCTCCCGCTGCGCATGGGGAGGTCTTCATTGGGCTATATACAGCATGGGATTCAAAGCTAACCAGATACTGTTAGGTCTTTCCTGCTGCCAGGTGGGAGAGGCTAGGCTCTGGAAGATGCTCCTCTGACTGGTCCTTGGGATGTCTCAGGTCCTCCTACAGCTTTATGCCATGTAGGAACTGTTCCTGCATAGCCTGCTCACATCTCCTCAGCTTAGCCCATGATTGCCCCAAGCCCTAAGAGTGATGAAGGGGCTCCCTGCTTCCCCAGCACAGCTCTCCACATGTGACTACTCTTAGCATGCCTCCTTTGAGAAGGAACGAAATCACTCTGCAGCTGTATTTAAAATTATATTGTTATGAGGGTACTTCAAGACTTCAAAATTAATTTTTTAAGTGATACATATTTCAAATGAGGTTTTTTTTAAAGATTTTGAAATCTTGCACATATGCACTCTTGTTTTTCACTAGTGACTTGGGTTAATTTTGTTTTAAAATAATTATCAAATTAAAAATAAGTAAGAATGTAAGAGAGCATGGTCATCTTTCAGGCTCTGTCCACAGCAAACAATGCCAGCTACCTGCACTGATGAGCGGGAAGCCCGGGCCTTGTTCAGTGTCCTCCGTCGCTCCCAGCGGTGAATGGAGTCCTGCACCTCCATGCTCAGCTGCCGTGTGACAGTGATTTTGTCATAGTTCTTGATGTGCTCCAGGGCCCCATAGGTGGTAGTTAAATAGTAGGAGCCTGCAAAAGGATAAGGTCTTGTATGAATATCGCACCAGCGCAGTCCATCCATTTCCACTTCCATCCTGCCTGCTGGCAGATGCCTAACACTTGCACTGTCTGTGCCTCTCTGCAGGGAATGCAGGCATGTCTGATATTAACCCAAGAGAAAGGAGACCTAATGGACAGTGTCCTCCACCCCCTTCTGCTTCACAGCAGCATCACTGTCCAGACTCAAGGTAAACTACTACAAAAGCTGCTTTCACAAACAAACCCAAGCAATGTCTTTGACCACAGATGGTTTATTCTTTGGGGCATGGCCATCTCTTTGCTGTGTTTAATAGGGCCAGTTCAACAGGTCTGCAATCTGGACTCCTGAGCAGTCCCCATAATACAAGGAAATTAGTAACAACTGTAGTTACTCTGTAAGAAAATGACAAGGCTGGATGCAGCCCCCTCCAACTCTAGCTACATTGCTAAAGTGTTTAGAGCTCAGGTCTGCTTGTGGGCTCAGCACTGTTAAGGATGTCTCAGACCTGCAAGGACAAGTTACCCTCTACTGCCTCCATCTCTATCATCTAGACTTGGAGCCCAGGTGTCAGCTGAGAGTAACTCCTGGATTGTTCAGAGATGAGGGATAAATCTTGGTAAAGCAGAGAGATGGGATAAAGCAGTAAAAGCCTGCAGCCACCCTTTCCCCCTCAGAAACTCCAAGACTGCTGTGGTGTTGGCTGTAGCAGGTAATAAATAATGAACTGCAGCAGCCAAGAAAGCAGTTGGACCATGATAAGAAGAGGGTTTATCAACATAGGTGAAGATAAGCCCTGATAAGACGGCAGAGTTGGATATTGGGAAGCTGCTGCTTTGGTTGTGAGGCAGACCCATGCCAAGGAATGGTTCCAGTGCCGAGTTGAGAGCGCTCATTTTCCCAGCTGCACCAGGGTCTCCTCTGAACAGAAGGAAGGAGTCAGCCTGCAGAGCTGCCCGAGCAGCAGCACATCTGGCCTGAGGCAGGGTGAGAGGCGAGTCCTCGGTGGGGCCGAGGCCCGGCTTCTGGGAGATTCCCCACTTCTGCTCCGCTCACCGCGGTGCCAGGGAAACGGAGAAATAAAAATAGCCTGTCAGCTGGGAGGGGCTCCCTGCTTTTAGTAAGTTTCGTAATAACTGCAGTTGCCTCTAGATGGCACTTCCACATCACCCAAACCTCGCACCAGCCCGCCTGGGGTTTCGTAACCCTTCCTCAGGCTCTGATCAGCTCCACAGTCATTGCGGCTGGTTGCTTAAGTGGTAGGTAAGATAACATTTTATATAAGAGAAGTATTTTTGGAGCAACTCTAAAGTCTGGTGTAAGAGAGGAGAGACCAGCATTGCCATTTGACTTTCTGTACTTGGTGGGTCTGATGAAGAATGTCCCATAGCTACCTAAGTCTGCTTACACCAAACCCCCTCTTTTTCTTTACCATCTCTCACACAGTGCTGCTGAGAACAGGCTAACAAGCCTACAAGTGCCACTTTTCTTCTCTTAAATAGAGTTACTAACTTCCCTTGTCTGTCATTCAGCATTTCTCTCTCGCTGGCATAGTCAGGGGTGCCTGTGGTGGGGCTCACAACCTGGTGTATGCTTTCCCTCAGAATCCAGGGAGAAAGATCTCCCAGTCCTCCATGACAGGAACTCATTATATCTTTAAGAATTGTTTTTTCTTACACTCAGTTTCCAGTATCTTCCTTTCCACACAGTCATTTCCCATCGTCTGTCCCTGCCTTTGGCCCAGTAGTCAACATCACTGTTACTATAAAATTCATTCAAAGTAAATTTTTAATTTGAAGGCCAGATTTAAATGAGTTTATGTATTACCTGATGTAATTTCACAGTTTTCTCCCTTTTGCTTTTAGTGTGTTCTTTTTTCATTTCTGTGCCTGAATCACTTTTTGCCATTTAACTTTGAAAGGCCTAACTCAACTGAATTTTTTGCCATTTTAGCCCTGTTCTTCATGGTCTCAGAGCTGTCGTCACTGAGACCTTTTCATTCCATTCCCTGTATCAGCAGTTGTTCCCAGTGTCCTTTCTGATGTGATTCTTCAGCCAGTTTGATCTGGAACTCCCTCACAAAATTTTCCCCCTTTGACTGGCATGCACATTTCACAGTCTTTGCATCTTTGACTGAAGAGAGCCTCCAGCCTGCTTTGCCTTTAATACCCTGAGCCCAACCCAGATGTCTTCAGTAACCAGCCTGGTAGTATGCCCTTTTGAAACGAAGAACCTGTGGGCAACACAGTTACCAAAACCAGCTTAATTATGTCAGCAAAATGCTGTGCTTAGACTAATGTTTTTTTCTGCTAACAGTTCTTTCCAGTGGGATAATTAGCCTATACAGAAACCCCTCACTAGTACGATCACACTATCACTGCTCATTCTTTTAGTACTTCCTTTTCCCCACCTCTGCACTGTGCTGGGATGACATGCTCTTAGTTACAGACTTGGTTTTAACATGAATAGAAGTAGCCTGCTGTTATTCACTCAGGACCTCTTTATAGAACCTCAGTACTTTTCAAAACAAAATCTGAAGTAAAACCCATTTTACTTCTTTAGTGACTACGTGGTCACAAATTATCTGTGTTCGTAACTCAGAATGCATAACCCTGTCACTGTTAGTAGCAGTTGCTTCCCAACCTACATTTAAGAAATGAAAGGCCCACAGTTCCCTAGGGTATTTACCCCTCTAGTAGCAGAAGTCTTTATTCACATCCAAACATAATATTCCACTCTAACCTAACTTTCTTTTCTCTGCCTCACTTTGATGAGAACATTGTTTAAAGGGGTCACTCAAATGTAAGAGTAGAGTCACCATGAGAATGATGTATGCCCCCCGGCATACAATACAGTTTATGAAATGTGCTTTTTTTCTCATTGGAATAAAAGTCTTTGCACAGACCTTTCAATTTTTCAGCCTTTGGGCCAAGGAACACTAGATAACTCTGTTTAGGTTACTAATGCAGCAACTCAGATCTCATTTATGCTAGGTCCCTGCCTTTCTAGCTGATGTCTAGGGCACCACATTGCCAAAATCAGCTAAAGTGTTTGACAATAATTTTAGAGACTCATATTTGAAAAGTCTGGCCAAAGCTTATCCACAAAGCCTAGCCACAGCCTTGATGCCCCGCTTTCACAAACACTAAAGCGAGGTAAAGAATGATTTCCAGCATGAATATCCCAGGAGCAAACACTGTACTCTACCTTCCCCTAGCTGCAAAGCAGGGTCCATGAGCTCCATCATATACTCCACATTCAGAAGGACTTCAGTCAAGTTGCTGCGAGCCAACACATACATGAGCACAGGGAGGAAGTCATCTGCACCATACGGCTTCCCTGAGCAAAGAGAAACACAGAGTGGTCACAATAAACTCACCACAAAGATACATTCCCCCACAGCAGTGACAGCTTCTCACCCAGCTTGTCCTTTGCAGACTTCTGCTCGCATTATGTGAAGAGTTAAAGCTCAAAAGAAAAAAAACTGCTGAAAAAGGGAAAGTTAGTACACTTAAAAAGTAAGTAGACTTGCTTCAAGCCCAAAATATGAGAATGAAAATTTTTATTGTGCTCCATTTCTGATAGTCTTTATTAACTGGAGAAAGAGAAGCTTAAGCTTCATGGATCTCAGGCAAATGACAATCCTTGAAGAGTGCAAAGTCTGCCAGTTCAGCCCTCTGATTTGACAGTGCCATCAAGACTGAAATTCATGTTTGCAATACTAGCAGTGAAGTTGTCTATATGCATTAGGGGTGTTTATGCTCTTAGATTCGTATATGTGTGAGACCAAAGAGGAGAAAATAGATTTTGAGATGGGTTTTAGGACTGAGGACTTCCTTGTTGTGTTTCTTCAGAAGGCAAAACATAGATCTACATGTTCCTAATTATAACAGTCTCCCAAAGAGCTCAAATCTAAGGGGAAGCATCTTCCCAGCCATTGGTGCCTAGCTAAAAAAATAAAAAGTCTTTCACATTGGACTTAGATTAGTATATGGAATTGATGGAATTGGCGGAATTGGCGTGCAGCAGGTGCTACAGGAACATATCCTCACAGGCTCAAGATTTCCTATGCTTAAAAATATTAATATCAACAAAGTCAACAAAGTGATCTTACATGTAATCCATAGCAGCTCTTTGGGATCTCTGAGGACAAAAAAGCATACATGTTAACAGTCACCATTAGAAAGAATTACTGCTTAAAGTAGAACCCAAAATGAAGCTTTGACACATAAACGGTGAAGAACACAAAGACAATTTTTCTTATTTGAAAGAAGCTTTCACTTTTCACCAACATGTCATAAATTCATCATGGACAACCCAAATGACAAGCTGCTTAGCAGGCCTATCTTCCCAACATTTAAAGTTGACCATTACAGTTAACCTAAGCCCAGACTGCTTTCACTCTGATTGTCCTTCCTCAGGCAATGGGCAGGTTTTCTCAGCTGAGCACTTGGATGTGTTGTTTTCATGGGCCATGTGTGTGTCTTACTTGAGAACCTTTAGCCTCACCTCAAAGAATCAAAGCTACCCTTGATGTACCTTCAGTGAAATTATGCCCTAGCCATTTTTGGTTCATAGTCCACATGCTCTTCCATGGTGGGGCATAAATTCCTGTTTCTCAAATGTTCCCACTGACTTATTTCAAATTTTTGCCATGAGTCAGCCTTCTTTTTTTTTTTTTAATTTATAAGTGATGCAGGCTCTCCACTGCAAACAAAGATGTTCTTCTGAAGCCTCAAATAGCCACAAGCTTAGCCCCTGGTGAAAAAAAAACAAAAAATAAAAAAAAATATAGTGTGGCTTAAAAATAAACCCAGGAATAAAACTAGTGATCAGAGAGCTGATCCAGTTAAAGTGTTGGAGGATGGGAGATTGTCAGGGCTGTAATTCAGCCTGTTTCTAAGACTGAGTCCACACATGTCACAACATAGACAATTTGTTTAATGAAAGCTGGATTAGCCCTTTCAGTTCTATTTGCTTTATTACGGCTGCCTTTAGTTAAATGACACAGCCTTAGGTCTTCAACCAAACTATAAAAGATCATTAATGTTTCATTAACATCTGGATGAATGTGAATTGTTTAAGACCAGGTTGGATGGGGCTTTGAGCAACCTGGTCTAGTGGAATGTGTCCCTGCCCATGGCCTGGGGTTGGAACTAGATGGTTTTTAAAGAAGTTCCTTCCAATCCAAACCATTCTAATGATTCTGTGATTCTATGACATTTTATTTGTCTGTTGTTACTTTGGCTTCTGTCTCTGTAAAAGCTTCAGCTCTGGAAAGGGTCCAGTTCATTGCTGTCATATATATTACTTTAACACAAGCAGCTTAGTACTAGAACTATTTAATATTGTCTAGCAAAAAAAAAAAAAAAAGATACAACTGAGACATGAAAATGTATTAGAAAGACTGCACAGAAAAAACTGCTCCTTTTGACTTGAGTAAATCAGATGCCAACAGAGTTTGTTCTGTACAAAACTAGCGTAAAGGGAGATGAAGTACCAAAGAGTTTTCTAGGCTCACTTTTTTCCCCCCTTCCTTAAAAACTTACTTACACTTTATGATGTAGTAGTTACTGACCAGTGGCATGGATTGAGTGCTTATGGTTTCCTGAAGGCCAAGGGACCTTTGGCAGAATTTTCTCTTCCCTATCACTTCTTTTCATGACTAATCCATGTTTTGCCTGTTTTTTGTTTTTTGTTTTAATAAAATGTCACAGAAATGGATCACCAGCCAGACAATGGACAACCAATCAATGCAGATTGGAAACAGCAACTTGGAACTAAACAATTCCATATCCCCAGCCATCAACTTCTAGTGTCAATTGAAATGAAAGTTAGAAGACACTTTTCAAAAACACCTACAGAATCTCTCTATTTCTTTTTTATTGGCTGAGAAGTACTTGTATGCACAAGCAGGCACTGAGTCAATTATTTTACATTGCTGTCTGTCTCATTTCTATAAACTGATTTAGCTGCTCTCCCCAGCAGACCTTGTTATAAACCTTTCACAACTTTAAGAGTTCATAGAAATATTATTGGACCCCCAGCTGTTTCTATGGCTTAAATGTGAAAATCTAATAAACAGTTTCTTTTTCATTAATAAACTCAGAGAAGGGATGTGTCCTGGGTTCAGCGGTAGCAGTCATTTTTCTCCTTCTTGGTAGCTGGTGCAGTGCAGTGTTTTGACTTTCAGCTCGGGAACAGAGCTGATAGCGATGTTTTGGTTTGGCCAAGGACTTTGTGAGCCTCATGCTCTGCCAGGGAGGAGGGGAAGCCAGGAGGAAGCAGAGACAGGACACCTGACCCAAACTGACCAAAGAGGTATTCCATACCACAGCACGTCATGCCCAGGATGCAACTGGGAGTTAGCCGGAAGGGCTGGGAGACTGCGGGGTTGGAGGAGGTATCGGTCGGTGCTTGGTCGGGCTGGGGGGGGTGAGTTATCGGTTGGCTGGTGGTGAGGTGTTGTATTCTCTTCCCTTGTTATTTCCTTTATCATTATTATCATTGGTGGTAGCAGCAGTGATTTGTGTTATACCTTAGTTACTAAACTGTTCTTATCTGAACCCGTGGGAGTTGCATTCTTTTCGATTCTCCTCTCCGTCCCTCCAAGAGCAGGGGGAGGGCAAGAAACGGGGGGGGGAAGTGAGCAAACGAATTACCTGACTGGGTTTAAACCACGACAGGATGTCTGACTGTGGTAATGGAAGGAGCAGTCGCTCTCCATATGCTCTATGCTCATAACCTGCATAAATTACTACACATAATTTTAGTCCACTTGTGGGACTATGAAGCCTGATTCTTAAATACCCACATCTGTAGCTAAAGCTGAGGTCAGCAAGAGCTGTAAGTGTCAACAAGAGGAAAGAAAAGCTAATTGTCAAATATCTAGCTCTGACTCCATGTGTTGCCACAAACTGTCAGTGTTGCCTAGGACAGGTCAGGCATGGTATATTGTGCCTGCTCCTTGTAGGCATTGTAATAGCTTCTCTAAACTGACTGCACATGAAGCCAAGGATAAGTGCCTGAGAGGGTAGGGTTCTGAACCTTTCCTTGTTCCCATGGCCTTGGATGTCACAGTAGGCAGAGGTACTAGCTTAGACATGTACAGTCATCAGACTAAGTATGGTTCTGAGGTGCCCTGTATCTCAGTCCATCAATGGGGATAATAGGTGCCTGTCAGCAACACAAATATGACCAGAAGTAGGAGACACAAAGATACACAAAACAATACCTGTGAACCAAGACACCTAAGAAGTTTGGTGCTGCTCAGCATTGTGCAACCTACCTGCTCCCTGTGCCACGAAAGGCACCAGGGCACAACCCAGCATCCATCCAGGAGCTGCAGCAGGGGTGTTCTCTGCAGGCTGCTGCCTCCTCAGCTCCACTTTCAATCTGGGCCAGAGCCAAGTTCCCAGACCTACATGTCTGACTCCATCTGTGGTCTCTCACAGAGAGGTATGCTTGCAGCTGACAGTCAAATCTAGCTCTGACCCTGACAGGGGTCTCGGTGACACTGGGACTGAGCTTGCTTGTTCAAGGTGGTGTTGTCCTACTCCAGATATAACTTATTTGCTTTATTTCCCCTTCTTCCCTGCATGATCAGGAAACATTTATTTCATAAATATCTATAAGAAGCTTAAAATAAGCCTTCTTTTCTGCCACAAACTCATCCTATTCTGTTTATAGCAAAGCAGTTCCTGGCTGGGATGCAGCACTTGAATAGACGAGTATTAATTAAATACATGATTTAAAGCAACTGGAATTCTGCCCAAGCCTCCATAAAGAAATTACAGCCTGTTTTAACACACTCATGCATTTCTTTTCCCTCCATGTATATTCTGACAACCAGCAGACACTGATGATGCTCTGCACTTTGCTCTAATATTTTACAAATACTGGCATGATGTCTTGCAGCAGCTCTCCAGGAAATACATTAATTTTAGCCTCAGTTTATAGCTGAGAAACCTGAGTACAAAAAGGTTAACTGAGATTTGTTCAAGACTGTCATGGAAACCGGGACAAAGATCATAAGAAAAGATTGTGAACATCTTTTCACTCACTAGCATTCTGTTATCTCCTGTCTATCCCATACTACTTCAGCAAGGTTTGATTTATGATAGTTAAATTAAGAGAGCTAATACATGCAGGCAGCATGAATCCACTTCAAAAACATGTTTTACAGATCAGAGGAATTCATCGCCCTTGAAAAAATTTAACTTGCTCTTTAATTCAAATGTAGAAATTGTGATAGCCAGAAGATGCAATCTCTAGTCTACCAGCCTTCATTAACAGTAACTTAAATATAAACCTCTTCCAAAAGATACAAAGTAAACCTGTTATGTATAGCTTTATTTTCCTTCTCAGAAGTGAGAACTGATATTGAGCAGTGTAATGGCATTGCTCTGATGTAGTTTTCGGAGCTCCTAGCATTGGTTCTACACTGGTTGCTTAAGTATTTGAAGCCAATTTCCTTTCCACAAACTTAAGACACACTGCTTCAGGTTCATGCCTTTATCAGCTACAGAGCTAAGTAGGAGTGCATCAGCACAACTAGTATCTGGCTGCTCAATTCTACAGTGGGTGACAAACTTAATTGTAAAAGCTAAGGAAGAGAAATGTTTCAATGGAATGTTTGTCCTATCTACCCTCTTTTTTTTCTGAAAGCAGACTTTGTATTAGCCATGCAAAATGATGCAATAGAAATTACTAAATCACATGTTTTAGGGCCAGTTACCTTGCAAACTCCATCATTAGTACAGATCTGGTTTTGAGCTATATACTCCAACTCCTTGTGCAGTTCAAAGAAACTCCAAAAACAGAGCTTCATAATGTTAGGTAGTCTACAAGTTAAAAATGTTGCTGTAAGAAAATTGTTCCTCTGTTAACTCTTCTTAAATCTCCTTAGAAAACAGTCTTCAGATCTTTCAAACTTCCAGCTTAAGCTTAGAGCCTTTCCATGCTTGATCTTCCTCTCTCTTAGACTGACCAAGTTTGGCCTGATTGTCTCACACAGTATTTCTTCATAAACCAGTGCCTATTGTGCCTCTGTTTTTGCTTTTCCATTGGTTCTTTTCTACAGATTGGCAGCTGCCAGGTAGCTCAGGGCTGGCTGCTCCAGGCTCATCCCATAAATCACATATATTGCAGATTTGCATCTTGTTTATCACTCCACAAGGGTCACTTGTGGTTTTGATAGAGCGAAAAGCAGAGATCCTACCACAAAATATGTCTTTAACATTTTGTCTGAGTAAAGGTCTTTCTGAAAGGTAAATAATTAACCGATTTTCTACATGAGATTACAATTCATCTATATAAATCAGCTATGCACCCAACTTTCCCTGAGGGTAGTGGGGCATGCCTTTCAAATGTAGAACAGTCAGAGATCTGGGAGCTTACAGTTCCCCATGAGCCCTGCCTCTTACTTTTTCTAGTGTACAGGTTAAAAGAAGACACCAAAAATGCCAGCCAGTTTGTGGGGATGAGGTGAGTTTCCAAACTATTTTGGGTTTTTTATTCTTTTAATGCATATTATGCTTACTAACTGCTCCTAGAATTTTTAGCAGGCAGGTTACATATTTTTAGATTGTAGGCTATTCTTGGAGGCATGTTGCTGTCATTTAAGTTTGCACAGAACTTGGAAAAGCTCAGTGAGGCACCACAATGCTGTCTGTATTGTCCCACTGGGGAGGATTCAATTACTAATGCCACTGCCTACTCTGCACATGTGAATATCTGAACTTGTACCCGTAAGCTCTTTTTATAGCCAGGGATGAATTCATCAATATCGTCAGTGAAGTTTGTCGTGAGTCATCTCAACCTAAAACAGACACCCACATCTAGCCAGATTAATGAGCTGCGTCAACTAAGTCCCCGTTGTGTATAATGAAAGCTAGACATGAGGCCCATCTGTGGCTACGGCTAGATGTAGCTGTAGATGCATCCTACTTAAACATAGATCTGTTCTCAGATATCTGTGGGAGACAGGTGCATTGACAAAGACTGTGAATTTGCCTTCTTGATTCTTTCTGATAAATTAGGAATTCTGATGCCTTCCTCAGCAATCAGATCCACAAGTTGATTGCTTTCAACTTGAAGGAGAAATGTTAGTTTAAAACACCTGTAGATCTAACCCATTCAGTTCATAGTCTGAGTATCAAGGATTTCAACCACAGCCAATTTTTCAGGCAGAATTTGTCATGTAGTACAAATTGCAACCAAACTACAGAACTCCATCCTTAAAATGGCTTGATATACATGGAGTCAATCAAGGCTGACTTCAGTGCACCATGACTCTTTCAGCAGTGCCAAGATGGGCACTACCGCAGACACAGGTGTTCCTGAGCAATCCTATCCCTAGTTTTAAAGAAAACTTGGGACCTATTGGGAAACATGGCCAAACTTGGACTGGTATACATGGGTCTTAGAATGTTAAAAAAATTGTTTTTTCATATGGGTCTGAAAAAAAATTTAGTGCTATTTGCACTTTGCTTTGAGATATGAAACCATGTTCTCAGATCACCTCATCCTACCATCAACCTAAAGTGAATAAAGACCTGCCATGAGCTGTGAATTTGCAAATTAAACCAGGCAACATAAGTTATAGTACTGAACTGAATTTTTTTTCCTGACAGAAGTAGACTGATTTGTCCTGCACAGAGGGAATGATTAGTTTTGCATTCCATCCGCTCTGATCTTGGAAGAGAAGAAAACTTTCTAATTCAGCAGTGAGTAAAAGGAGCTAAAAGAAGAACAGACTATTGCACAGGAAGTTGAACATAGCCCCTGTTCTTCCTGTGCAAAGAGAACTGAGCTGCCTTAGGGCTGGCTGAAAGCAAAAGGGCCTCTGTGCCACTGCTTTCAAGTTGGGCAAAGAGCAGGAGATTTCCTACCCACTGAAATCCGGTCTGAGCAGCCCACAGCACTCTCTTCAGCACACCACCAGCTGGGAATTCCCTGTCAGAAAAATATTTCAGTTTGCTGGATGTTTGTCTTTGACTGGTGGAAAATCAAAGTGATCTTGGGTCAGTTAATTCTGTTGAAGAGTTTTCACACGTTTCACTTCTAAGTGAGTCTACAGGACATTTCATTCAATTTCTCTTCGAGTCCACTATCGTCCAGGAGTTAGACTATAGTATTCTCCATCCCTTAACCTCTTTTTCTGGTTGGAATTAATTGAGTACACTTCCTTAATGTCAGGCCAGTTTTCTTATGACCACACCCTGGTATGCATGACTGATCATATATACTGGAGAGGGAACCGAACGCATAGGGCTGAAGTTGGCTTCTGACATACACCGTGCTTGCAGGAGTACTAAACATGAGAAAGCAGCTGAGCTGCCTGAAATGAAGCACCTTGGTTAGCACAGAAAACCACAATGAAATCCTCTGATTTCATGAATGCCAGTTTTTTAAAAAATGTAAGGTTTTTTAATCGTTTCCCTGACCCCTACTTTCTGACATGGAATGACACAAAGACATTTCCTACAGCAGGGAAATTCCAGCCCTGAACTAACTGAGGTGTAATAAATATGTAACATACAGCACCGGAAGGAGACCATGTCTCCTATGTGGGTTTTAATGAGGCATATCAGTCTTCGATTTATAACAAATTTACTCTAAAACTTAACACAACTGATTTAACAAAGTTACAGCAAATTCCCCAAATGTTTCCAAATCTTCTCATAATATCTGAAGGCAGTGAGAGGTCCTATCCACCCTGCAGCTTTGGCTCAGCCCTGGGGTGGCTTCTTGCCCTGCTATTAGTATGTCTAGATCTGTCACTAAATCTTACTGTGTACTGTCCAAGGGATGACCCTCAGGTGAGGCTCAGAAGGGACACAACTCCTGCATGAGTGTTCCAAGGCTGTTGTAAGTGCAAAATAAAGCAGAACAGCTAAAAGCACCTTTGGAGATTGTGAGTTCTTGAACAATTGCCCGTTGTAGCAAAGTAATATCTTTCTTCTCTCCAAATCTATGCATGGCTGGTAATCAGCTCACCAGTAGAAAAAGAAAGCTCTTAAACTGGCAAAGCAGATTCCTGGAGGAAGGAGCTTCCTGGTCTATCTGCAAAAGTGCATCCTGCCTGCAGGCCAAAGGCTTAACGTGTACATTTAGTGGTTGGCCTGAGGCCCAAGTTATATTTATACTCAGAGCACATACTTCCTCACACCGAAGAAGCATAGTAGTGCCTTTTGGAACTTACGGGAGTGTCAGGAGTTTGTAACAAACAGTACCAGCATTCTGCATTTCCTCCTCAGTTTAGGCAAAACTTTATATAGAAGAAACTAAAACACTTTTCCCAAAGACCCATTCCTAGAAATTAGCATTAAGCTGCTACAAGCTGGGGCAGACCTCTGAGGATTTATGGAGAGCTGTGATAAGATCTCTGCAAAAAGGACATTACACATAAAACACATACTTACATCTGTTTTTGGGGGGTTATGCAGCTTAAAGTTAACCAGGTAACATCTTATACCTGTTATTAGTGCAGAGAGCTTCCCAGTCACTAAGCAGCCCATTCTGAACATGACCTGTGGACAGCTGATACCAAACACACCATCCATCGCTGTTACCTCCAATGGGAATATTACCACATCAACTGTATCATAAACCCTGTTCCTGATACATGGGGAAGGACCAGTGAGGGATAGCATTTCAGTAGGAGTGCTGTACCTGGGTTTCCCTGAGCCATGGAGTCATAGATGAGTTTGCAGGACTTCAGCAATATGGCAATCTTCTTTTCTGGGGAGTAGGCCTTGTGCATGGTTGTGAACTTTTGAAGGATCTTTTCAAGCACAATGGTTTCAGGCACGCTGGTCGTGATGCCTAGGTCAGTGGTAGTTGTGTTTTGTATCACAACTTGGTTCTCTTTTAGCTGCTGTAAGGATCCATCTTTGTTGTGGATTTCTTTTAAGTAAGAATCAATGGCTTCTTTTAAAGGTTTCAGAACACATTTGTATAATGCCGTCTCAGCAATCACTTCTGCAGAGAAGGGAGAACACAAAAGTCAGTGATAAGTAATCAATACAACAGTGCAGGTGCAGGTAAAACTCCTAAGAAAACATGTGTTTGATTATTCATGCACTATTGCCTAGCTGTGAGCAGGGAGCAGAAATTACATCCCAGAAAGTAAATGTTTCATTACCAGTGCCCTCCAGAAGCTCTGGTAAGGGTTGAGGTGAACACCAGGGCACAGTTTCTGTGTGAGAGCTCCTGCTACAAGCAGCTGTCTTTGCCTTACACCCTGGCTGACCAGCACGGCACTGTCAGGCAGCAGAAAAAGCAACTCTGGGAGATGAGGAACCTCATCTTACTGTGCTGCTTTTCACAGCCCTGCCCTTACAAATGCCCAGGTGGGATTCATTTTGTGTCCCCCTGACATCTCCCTCTGATCTGTTTGAGATAATCATTTTGGGGTGAAAACAACTTCATCCTCAAAGTGCCCCTTTCTCTGCAGTGAATGAAAAGCAGCTGTAGCCACCCACTCAGAGGCAGACACCAACAGCTGGTAAGAAGTTTCTCATCCTTACTGTTCAAGTGTCTTTTACTGATATTTATGTCACCTCTTAAGCCTCCTGTGGATGAGGAAATAGTCTGTGTGGGTCGAGTGTTTGCTTCATATTCAGCAGGAGACAAAAGCAAGCATGAGAGACAGTGAGAAAGTCTGTTGTCTGACTCCTAGAAACCAGAGCTAGGAGGATTGCGGGGAACCCTCTTTTAACCCCAGACTCAGGTGAAAAGGTCACTGGGAAGAGAGTTCATCCACTCAGTCAGTGAGGAATGAAACAGAGGGCGGTAACATTTATGTATATAAAATGCAACTATTTTAAAGGATCCGGAGAAACAGTTGGCTTGAAGCACCACAAATTTGAATTGTAGGAATGGCTGTCCTCCACAGGGAAAGGTAGTCCCCCTAGGCTGACTGGGCCATATCATCCTGTTAAGGAACCACTTAAACAGGAGCTAGAGGTAACCAGGCATGTCTGTGTGAAGGTGGGAGGGATCCTTGCACACACGTAGCTCTACCAAGCAGAACAAGGACACTTCTTTCTGCCTCCTCTCCACATTCCCTAATCAAGATTGAAGACTGACTTCTCTGTGCTGACAGCCCCTTTGCTTTGAAGAGAAGGTTACTAAGACAAAAAGTGCAGGTATTACACGAGGTGCATGAGAACTGAAACTGTACCTCCCTTCTCCTAGGTATGGCAATGGGCTGGCAGCAGGTCTCTTCTGCTGGGGAGACTGCAGGATCATGTGAAGCCTTAGTTGTATGAGAAAGAAGTCAGCAGGTCCTGCTGAGACTGGGAGCCTCTGGGTCCTGGCTCACCCAGGGTAGCTGGGTCCCACCTAATACTGGAACTGCAGGATCCCCTGGAATCCCTGGTCACTTCTGTGGTTGGCCATGTTCTGTGTTGGGGGTCTTCCAGCTCCCAGCTTGCCTTAAGCCTGTTTAGGGATCTCATAAATAGCCCTGTTTCTCAGGTCCTCAGGAAACAATTTTAAATCAAAAGAGCATATAAGTGCATGCATGCGTGCTTTTTCTGGCTGTACGGCTTTGACTGTCTCATTTTTTGCTCTTGTGAGACCTCACTTGGAGTATTGTGTGCAGTTCTGGTGTCCTCAACATAAAAAGGACATGGAACTGTTGGAACAAGTCCAGAGGAGGGCCACGAGGATGATCAGGGGACTGGAGCACCTCCCATATGAAGATAGGCTGAGAAAGTTGGGGCTGTTAGGCTGGAGAACACAAGGCTGCATGGAGACCTCATAGGAGCCTTCCAGTATCTGAAGCGGGGCTATGGGGGTGCTGAGGATGGATTCTTCATTAGGGACTATAGTGATAGGACAAGGGGTAATGGGTTAAAACTTGAACAGGGGAAGTTTAGATTGGATATAAGGAAGAAGTTCTTTCCTGTAAGGGTGGTGAGGCACTGGAATGGGTTGCCCAGGGAAGTTGTTAATGCTCCACCCCTGGCGGTGTTCAAGGCCAGGTTGAACAGAGCCTTGGGTGACATGGTTTAGTGTGAGGTGTCCCTGCCCATGGCAGGGGGGTTGGAACTTGATAAGGTCCTTTCCAACCCTAATTATTCTATGATTCTATGATTCGATGACTGGGATAAAGAATCTGTATATTCCTTCATGAATGTACATTAAACTAGACAGTCCACTTCTTAGAAAGGAGGGCAGTAGCACATTACTCCCTCACAGAATATTGAATGAAAAGCATCAAAACACTCCCAAACAGCCAAAAATATTAATTTTCCTCCCCAAAGGCAAATTATGTCTGTGGCAAAGAGAGGCAAATGCTGTATTTTGGAGCCAGCAGTGGTCTTGCAGCAGGCAGGTCTTTGTGCCTTTGAGCTCTGAGGAGCACAAAGTGGGATCAAGTGATTCCTTCAATCTGCCACTCAAAACCATTGTAGACTTGTCCCTTCTTGTGAGACAGTGATTGACCCCAGATCTGGCTGCCGCACACAAGGAGTTCTCCATCCTCACTGCAGAGTGTGAGGCAGTGGACATGGAAGGACATGTGGAACACAGCTGTGCAGGGGGACATTGACCTTTTGTGTTTCCAGTGAACACAGTTCTCAGTGTGTGTGCCTGTGTGTACAGGTATGTACACAAACACAGAGACTCATATTTATATGTGTGTATATATGCATATATACATACATATATGTCTCACACACAAACATAAACCTCTTCTTAAACTCTTCCCTTGAAAGTATTAATTTTTTATGAGGGATTTTCCTCCCTTACTGGTCTCCCAGTTTTTAGAGCTGCTCCTCCAAGTGCTAGCAACCACAGAGTAGACTTCTTTTCACACCCCTCAGCTTTAAGAGATGTTTATAATTCTGTAAAGCAGAACCCGTGTCTGCGTAATTCTGTCTTCTTCCTCACCTTCCCAAATTCTGCTCAAGGATGGGTAAAGTGCAGTCACCTACCTAACTGTTCCTCAGTGTGGGAGCCTGGGTCTATCAGAGATTTCAACTCAGTGCTCTGCACTAAGTAACTCTTCAGCTGTGTCATCATCATCCGGATTTCTTGTAGCATCTCTGTGCTGGAGCTCTGCTTTGCCATCATCTCTAAACTGTACACTCTGTAGTCCTGCACCAGGTTGCCAAAGTACGAGTCCTTGTCCTGTGCTAGCTCCACAATCTTCTTCTGCAGCTTCCTGTCACTAGACAAAAAGACTGTGAAGACATTAGACAGGCTGACAAAGGACAGCCTGTTCTTGGCCTTGTCCAAGATCATGGAGCGTGTCTTTTTACCAGATGAACTACTCGGCATCTCCAGGTCATCCTCTGTGCTGCTGGTGGAGTAGGAGTCTGGTTCAGATGCTGACATCTGAGCCACAGTGCTGCCTCCTGGGCCTTCCAGGGAGGAGTGAGCATCTTTCAGTTCAGCTGAGTTGACGGATTTGCGGCTATGTCCCAGCTCAGTCTTGATGTGTGTGCAAGTGGCACCACCTGACACTGTAGCAGAGCTGCTCTTGCACAAATCCTGCACAATGGCCATGGTTGTGGCTATCTCTGCCACTGTTCTTTGCTTTAACTGGCAGGAGCTGGGGACCCTCGGTACCTGGGAAAGCCTCTTCCTTCTTGGTGGTGGGATAGGCGGTGACTTTCCTATGGCATTGCTTTGAATCCCAGGCATGTCCTTCATCTCTGCAGGTTCAGGCTTTGTCTCCTGAAACTGTGATACAGCCGCCTCAGGAACTTCCCCAGGCATTTCTACAGCCTTTTTGCACAGTGACCTTTTATCTCTGCTCTCTGTACTCGCATGTGGTTTTTCTTCTGTCCATTCCCCTTTCAGCGTTTCACAACTTCCAGGGATTCCCACACAGCTCTCCTCTGAGGTCCTCTCAGACAGCTGCTTCCGTGGGGGGACAGAGGGCTGGGAGCCCTTCTTGGGGCTCGCTGCCAAAGGTTCACTGACTGAGCAGCTCTGCTTCTCTTCTTCTTTATTGTCACCGCCTTCAATTCTCATTTCCTTCATGGTCTTTTCTAGTGGCTGAAGGAGCAGCTCGTTTTCTTCACAGGCAGTGGTGGGATCCTGCAGGGGCTTCAGAGATTTCTGAATGAGAGCATGAGAAGGTGGAGGCGGAGGGGGGCGGCGGGGAGACCTCCTTTCAGTGAGCATGGTGGCATGGGGGAGATCAGCACTCACAGCACGGCTTTTAGGAGAAGGTACATCTGGTGAAAAAGGATTACTGTACTCTTCTATAAAAATAGGATTCACGAACCACAGCCTGTCATTTCCTATTGACAGCTCAATTTCACATGAGCAGTGGTTTGTGCTGCTTGCAAAACACTGGGTAGATTTTAAACTGTCTGTCTGAGCAGTGCTGAAAGCAGAGTGTTTTGCAGGGTGGGATAACTCCTCTCTTCTTCTGTGGTTTAAGGAGGAATCCCAGAAATCTGTCAAAAAAAAAAAAAATGCTCTGAGAGAATTTTAGCTGCTAAAAGCATGTATAAGTCCTACTTTTTGTTAAAAGAAATGGTACAAAAGCTTTCACACCTCTGCACAAAACAATGTGAAGAAAGGGTTGCCTGTTTTATGTGTGTGAGATCCTTCAAATGAGGGGACAAGCTCAGAAGCTTCACCAGAAACCTCTTTTTTGCCAGTTTTAGGATATTTACCTAGTGAGAACTGTTAATGCTATGCAGCCTATGCAGTGTGAGCAGGAAGGTGCAAGTAACAAATGCAAATGACTGTAAAAGAGGGTCTATGGCTTGTTCAGTGATCACTGTCCTCTAAATGCAAATAGCTCTGGATACCTGAGATGAGGGTGTGAAGCCCCCAGGTGACTTCCTGTCCCCCTATTTCTGACTGTGGGAAGGTGCAGGGCTGAGATATATAGCCTGGATCCAATGTACACCAGGGGCACGAGAGACATCAGATGAAGATGACACAGAAAGCTCATGTGTCAGTTTGTCTATAAAGAGGTCTGCTACTGTTTTGCAGTACAACCAGTCCAGAAACATATGATTTTAAATACCTTCCACAGGTTAAAATTATCATTAAAGTCTGTAGCTCTGGATGGCAATTATCCATAGCCATGACACTGCTTGCCTGCAGGTGTAAGAGAGGAAAGATGGTGCAAAAGACTGTGTACACAGGAATGTTGTGTACACAGGAATGTTGTATGCTGAAGGATTAAAGAATAGTTAAGCACTCCAGTGCCATCAGCTGTGACTGGAAAAAGAAGATGCAAGTAGTCATTTCTGTATGTCACAAACCTCTCACTAGAATATCTTTGAATAGCTCATTTAAAAATTTACAAAGCACTTGTTTATATTTTGAATAGATTCAGCATCAAATATGAACTTCTTCCCTTTCCCTGAGATGAGTTTTTAAACCTGCTTGCCTTACCAGCGTGATTGCTTTCTATCACTTTTAGATCTGCTAATCCAGGGTCCACTACTCGAAGTGTCAGGAAACAGGATCCTGCAAACTCCATATGTTCTGACCAAGGAAAAGGGTATAAACCTCTGAGGGTATTCCCTGGGTGAGGACTGATGCCCACAGATTTAGGGACAAGGGGAAGATGGGAAATCCTGGAAATACAAGGATGCAGGTAACTAAATAACTATTTCAGCATGCTTGGTCCCTGGACACAAAGATGACACTGATGGCACATTCTTCTGGGTGGACACAGGACGCAAATGGGGCTGCCACACACCACATGAACCATGCCCTCTGCTTGGTTCCAAACCTGTCTCACTGCAAAAATACTACTTGCTGGGTCAAGAGGGGATGGATCGGGCTGCACATGTGTGGGATGATCCTCAGTGATGAGCACATGGTGCAGATCTCAGGAGAGTGCCTTTAGCTGCCAGGACTCCATTCTCCTGTTGGCTGCACAGTGTAGCCACAGACCATCACAGGGAAGGCGGACAGGGCTGAGCTGGCCAGAGCTCTAGGCAGTGCCTGCCTGTGCTTTTTCCTAAAAACTAGCATCCCAGAAAAGCTCAAAGGGTCTTCCAGTTAGGGAGGTCATAGCCGAACTCAGAGAAAAAGAACTCTCGGTTAAAGCCAATGCAGAACTCAGGGGTGAAATACATCAGATAAAATCTCTGCCTTGCCTACTGCATCTCCAAAGGCCGGCCACTTCTTCCTGTTTTGCTCCCCGGTGCAGTTGTGATTTTTGGTGACTTCCTGCCTGCAGCCAGCTCCCCACCATTGCTGGAAAAGCCATCTTTTTTCAGCTGCTGCCATGACTTGCTCTCTGCAGGACTCTGCCTTGGCCCTTGGTGCCCTGATTCCATTGCTGGCCTTGCCTCCCTCTGCCAGCAATGTGGTCCCCAGGGTCACAGCCAGCTGTCCCAGGGAGAGGGACTATTCCCTTCCCTGCAGTGGGTGCACATACTGCAGGCAGGGCAGGACAGGCAGGGTAACTCCTCACTGCCCTCCTGCTCCCTCTAACCAAGCATTTCCATAACACAGACACAGAGTAAGCCATGCACAGGTGAACTAAAAGAATGTTCATTCCCATCAGGTTAAAATTGCCAATTTAGCTTTCTGTAGCCTAGGCTAGTGTCCATGGCTAATTCAGCTTTATAAGCATGTCAGCAGGTTTTCGTTCTTTTTTCAGGGAGGCTAAGGTTAGAACAGGTTTATTCCCTAATTTCCTACTATGAGAGGGAAGAGAACAAAGAAGCTTAAAATAAAACTGTTGCCAGGAACAACAGCACTCTTGACAACAGAATTCTGGTGCAGACATGCAGTTGCAACTGCACATAATAGCATCACACTGCTAACCCCCTCATGTCTGAGACTGTGTGGGGTAAAATTTCCTTTAAAAAGGAAACTGTAGTCCAACTCTACTGGGTATCAGAACTCCAATTCTACTGTCCTGTATGCAGGACTGTGGAAGTTGCTTGTTTAAGTCTGAAAATAGTCTGTGGAGCTTCGTGGGCTGAGGAAATTGTGAGTAAACCAATCTACAAAAAGGAAGTTGGTTATTTTTCTCAGTAGTGATCAGGATAAGACACTGTGGTGAAAATGTAATGCTCCACTCAGACTGTGAAGGACCAGATGAGGTGGTCATACCAAGGGTTACATAGCTGCTTCAGAGAGGGTGTTTCTCAATGCAGCCACACTGTTTCATACAGCAGGAAAGGCAGTTTGGTTATCTCCCATTGCTATCCTGGCTCTTCCCTTAGCTTATACTGTGGGAGGGATAATTAAGCAGTTCTTTGAGACTTGGTATGTGTTCTTTGTGCAATAGTAATTCTTCTGCTAAAATGCCTTTTATACCAGCAAGGTCAGGACCAGAGGGCTTGCAGTACATCCTCTTTGACAATATACGTAACAGCCAGATAATTTGTGGGACAAGCCAGCTTGTTGGTAGACATCTTACTTCTATCCCCTCAAAAAAACATATCACTTTGAAATAAATAAAAGCAACCTACCAATTTCAAACAATGCTAGCTTTCCTTTGGGAGTGCCACTTCAGGCAGCACTTACTGTTTGTCTACTCATTCGTACCCGTGAAATTTTGCTCCAGGAAGCAGTAAACAGTATCACACATTACTTCAGCCTGTTTGACTTTACTGAGACAGGGTGGGACTCCAAGAAACTAGCATCAGTTCCCAGGAAATCTTTACAGAACAGCATGTTTTCTTCTGTTGTCAGAAATTTTCCTGGCATGCAATGTACTGTGATAAGCAAACCTCCAAGCATCACCAGTGTACAGGAGGAAAGAAAGAAGACTACAACCAACATTGCTTTGGTTCTTGTGCTTTAGTTAATCCTTCCATTCAAAAGCTGTTGGAGACTGTTACCTGAGTCAGGATCAATTCTAATGGCTTAAATTAGGGTGGCGGATGGAGAATTATGACACACTTCTTACATTTTAGTCCAAAGTTTTACACTTTTAACTGAAATTAATAGTAAGTTTGTATCTTGCTATCTCAACTTGCAAAATACTTTTCTTTAAGCAGTAAGTTCTGGCTAGACACCCGTACTCAAGGACGCTTTGACAAACAGGAACATATTCAAAATAGAGGATGCTGAAAGTGTTAGAGGTAAATTGTTAATCAAATTTAACAAAGCTTCTTGAACTGAAACCAGCAGGGTTTTCCCATGGCTTCTGGGAGGTATAATGCAGAAGATCCAAAAATAGATCCTTAAATCCTCATGGTACTTTAGTGAGTATCTCTAAGTGAGCTAAATTCAGCTTTCACCATTGTTTGGCTGTTTTCAACAGCTGAGAAAAGACTGAAAAGCAAGCTAGTGTGAGAGTGGCTAACCGTAATACCTGTCTCAAGCAGAGTGTGTTAAATAGGAAGGAACAGGAAGGTGACCTCCTTTAGTTAAAAGAGCTGCATTTCCAACTCTGTAACTTTACACAACTGAGCTAAAATTTGCTCGTTTGGTGTTGTCACTAAAAATAACATTCCTTTTTTATCTAATTAGTGCGAGGTGAGAGAACATGCTGGGACACTACAGAGTCCTCTACCAATTAGAAATCCTGCAAGAGAAAATAGAAATATCAAAATTCAAAAATGTCACTTCCATCAGCATTGCCCCCACACATCAGAAGGGGAAATTGCAAAGCTGTTTTTCTTTTTTCTTATACTTAGATGCCAACTACTTCCAGTTTATGTAAGTTATCATGGGAGGCTGTGCCGTGCTTCAGTTGCTGAAAGCCCCAGCTTACACAGTGAAACTATAGGTCCCACCCATGCACAAAAGTCCCAGTGGAAGTTTTTGTCCAAAGGGGCAAGCGGCAGCTTTCAGTGTGCTTCTATAAACATAAAGATCGTGAACATCTTCTCTCTTGCATTCAGGCCTCCTCATCTATTCTGAAGACAGCAGTTCATCTATCCTCCAGTTATGAAGCACCATGGTTCTCACAAGTCTGAGTGAAATTCTGGTTGCTTTGAGGGACTTACCTATCCCCAGACTAGAGATAATTTCAAGGTCTTGAAAGCTACTGGCTTCTAATATTGCTTGTGGTAGCTTCAGGGTGAAGGGCAGCAAATCTCTGTAAAAAGAAACACAGTGAAAAAAACAATGAAAGAATAAACCACACAATTGCTAGGAACCCCAGATTTTACTGTTGGTTCTAGTGATTGAACCACAATTTCAGCCTTCCCTGCAAAGTCCTGGATATTGTCATGGGAAGATCTCATGGCCTGTAAGGCATCATGGACGTTGTGCCAGCCTGGGTTGCTCTGATTTCACTAGATATCACCAGCTCCTGTGGTGATGCTTCATGCCATGCCACTGGCTTAATGATGGGGTCTTGGCTTCCTCCTCTGAAAACAGCAGGAACACCTCTCACCTCAGAGGAAGCCACAAGGGTTGAAATACCTTCCCATGAAAACTGAGATGTGAAAATGGTAATTACTGTAATAAGAAAAGCCATTCTTTCTGGTGTGGAGGGGCTCTGCAGTCCTTTTTTTTCCTGTTTACCCCTCTCTCCCTGCCCTGCTTCCTCTTTTAAAAATCAGTGTAAGTATAAAGCATGAGGACATGGCAAGACACAGTGAGGTTATGAAAGGGAGATCCCTCCTGGGGAAAGGTAGCCCCTGTGTGAAGTGACAGACAATGATGAAATCCTGCATGACACTGAGAAAATACATACACTCTTCTACTCTCACTCTCAGATTTTTGACTGCTTGGTTTATGGAAAGATTCTGTATTTTTACTGGAAAAAAAAAAAAAAAAGAAAAAAGATGCAGTTTCTCAGAGGTCGTTAGCTGGGTTTCACACACCCTAAGTTTCAAATAATTAATTGGAGCTCTTGGGCTGACATTGAATTGTTCATGTTTGCCTCTTGCCTAATGACAGTCTGCTAACGCTGTTCCTATGTCAATTCCCATTCTAACGATGACTAGAAAAAACAAACCAATAGTCCCTAAAAGGCAGCAAGTAATAGTGCAGGATCATTTTACACATTAAGAAGTTTAACAAAATGCTCTGCAAGATGCAGGAAATTGTTTTAGAAACATCTGGCCTTGTGAGTAGGTGTTATCTGCTACACAAACAAGCATCCCAAACATGCGCATGACTGCAGACCTGAGGAGGACCAATTTATGACAGATAAATGCACGGCTGCTACTTTTGCTCTTATTAACAGATCCATGTCTTACTGATGTACTGTGTAGTCCATGAGTTCTCTGCGCACCACTGAGCACCCTGTTGTCACATTGTTTGACATAAACTGATGTGATCAGTTATCACATCAGTAGTATTACTTTGTCATGGCAAATATGAGGTTTAAAAGAGGAAGAGAGTCCAGGGACATTCTGCTTGCTTTGTTTGTTACTGTTCTTACTGTTATATTTGCTATATGCACCAGTAGTTCCTTTTTTTTCTTTCTTTTTTTTTTTTTCAGTAGAAAAATACATCTAAAAATCAGGAAACACTGAGACATTAGCTTAATAGAAAAAAATCTGGTTTTATTCATAGGGCAGCAGCCTACAGGCAAGCCACAAAGTCACCTGTTATCTACAGGTGTTATTTTGGTGATCTAAGGTAATCAAGCCAGGCCAGACTTTCTTTTGAGAAGAGCCTGTCAGCCCTGATAAGCTGTTTCCAGCTCTCTATAAATGACTGTTTATTACAGCCCTGAGAACAGGCCTTTCCACACAACATCACGGAGACCTCCTACAAGCTGCCAGTAAATGATAGGTGAATGCTTAAGCAGCTTTTTTATTTCCTGCTTCTCTCAGAAAATGATTCCCTATTTTCCTTGTTTTTGACAGAGACCTGAAAAATCACATGAACCACCTGCGGGAAAGCAGAAGTGAGCATATTTTCCCTCCCACTGGCCATTGACTTGAAATGCTCTATTCTTGTTTGCATTTGGGCTCTTCTTCGCTTTGGTAACACAGAAACCTTTATATGGGTCCAAGGGTTCATTTAAGCCCATTCTGTAGGGTCTATACACATCTAGATGGCTGTCTTGTCATTGAAGAGGGTGAAACAGAGTCCCTTGTGTTTGTGTAGGAGTCCTGGCCCAGCAGCACTGAACTCAGTTGGCTGCAGCAGCAGCCCTCAATATAGTGCAAATAGTACTGTCTGGGTAAGCTGTGGCACACTGGATCATACCATAGATAGACTGTTCCTGCTATGTGACCCAACTGAGTCACTAACAAGGCTGCCTGGTAAACATATCCCGAATCTGCTTTTACCTCTTAAATGGAAGCAACTACTTTAAGAGTCATCTAAGTTTATACAGGGGAGGCCAAAAGTTTACATCCAACTCAAAACCAGGCCTGCTGCGGCAGAAGTAGGATAAGGAGGTTGCGGAAGTATTGCTGCAATGTGCTTGGCACAAACACAGATCAGAGGAGACACAAGGGTTTAATTACACAGAGGGACTCATCAGCTGCTGATCAGACTTTGCTCTAATGAAAATGAAGGTCTGTCCTGCATCTGTGGCCGTTAGGTTCGGTATTTCTGCACTGAACAAACAAGCAAGGTCTCTTCCTTACTGCTTTGTTGTATTTTAAAATTTTGGCTAAAGAAATAAATCGTTTCAGGAGTACCCTCCTTGACAGATTCCTCACAGGTGACTAAGTGCTCTGAGCCTCCCACAGCCAACAGTCCATTCGTAGATTTACTAATGAGCTGCCAAGTATGCATGGATGCTAAAGCTGCTTTAAGTAAGAGATAGTTAATCCAGGCCCCATTTTCCTCCCTGCCCTCCTAGCCCCAGTCCTGTGCCTCAGTCCTTTGTGGGTGCAGCACTATAGACCTTCCTCAGACAAAGACTGCAGCTTCAGGGACATCATGATTATGATGTGCCTGGCTAGAAACTGAGTGATCTGTCCCTGTTGTAGATAGCAGCACCTGAAATACCTCCTCATCTGGCAGGTTAGAGGAGATAGGAAGAAACAGAGGGGGCTCTGCTGTGGCTGGATACTGGGGAAAGGCACTCCAGAGGGCAGAATGAAGCTGCCTTTCCATGGAAGCAATGAATCCAACTCACCTACTGACACAGTAGAAGGCAACCAGTTTGAAGAGGTCCTCAAATACAAGGACAGATCCTTCCAGGTACAGGACTGATAAAAAATAAAAAAAGACAGTCAGCAACTCTTTTCTTTGAGCTATACAGTAAAAAAGGTGGTGGGTTTGGCTCGCATACCTTGTATTCTGTGATTGTCCAGTATTTGCATGGACTAATATGAAGAAGCATAAAGAATTGGCTTCAGAAGGCCACAGTGAGAATCTCTGGGGAAACACTGGAGAAGAAATGTCTTAGCCTAGCTCTCTGAACGGTTAGCTCAAGATATCAGACTGTTGTGACAGTAACAGATACAATAGGAAGAAAAAAAAACAGGTCACAGCTAAAGAGTTCTTCATAACAAGCCCATCTGTCTCTAAGGGTGTGCATATCTGTAATACATATGGGGCTGACCTTGTGACTCTCCATGCTGGAATCTGGTTTGGTCTGGATGGACAAAGTGCTTTGAAGAAAAAGAAAAAAATAGAAATCACTGTCTTATTACTATGTGTGTGGGCTCTGACCTGGGTCCCACAGACAGCATGAACACAGCCTATTTGTATCTCCCCTGTCTTCTCCCTTCATTGTGTTATATAGCAACAGCACTTTCCTTTAAGTGGCAAAATACAATCTACACCACATTGCAGAGTTCTTCAAGATGACCTCCTTTATAACAGCATGTTATGGTATTATGTAGCCCAAACCTCACATGTTATTATAAAGGTTTTGGTTGGTAAGCTAGAAAAAAATTCACTAGCTGGTGGAGAAAATTTCACATTGATCAGTAACCCAAGGCAGAGAGAAAGAGATGGTTCTGCAGGAGAAGTGTCCATCTTTGCTTTAGCTTTATAGTCTCACAAATTGTCTGTGCCTTTATGTACAGAACACACCATCACAGAGATGACAAGTTTAAGGAAATCTGCAGTGGGTTCTGGTGGTGGAAAACTGGATTCCCCAGAGCTGCCTGTTCCTGCCAGAGGAGCACACTGGAAGTTCTCGAGGAGCAGCACTGGCTCACACCACATAGCTGTGCCTGCAGCTGCTCTGTATCTTCCTTCACTCTGTTTTCTAGGCCACACACAGTTCAGAGCTGTGGACATGAAGCTCAGCTACTGTGATTCAGCTTCGTGGTCTGCCATGATTCACCCACAGCTCTGTGAAATGTGTCCAGCTCCTTGCCTTGCCTGCCTGGTTGTTAGCTCCCCTACAAAGAAGGGCCTCCAGCACCTGTGGGACGAAGACATCCTCCTGGCTCTCCTCTCTCTTGGCTACATGTACTGGCTCTTGCTCTCAAGCCAGCAGAGAATCCCACTGGAAGGAAATGTTCAAGCTTGTCTATGGTTCATCTTCACAGTTCAGTCCCCAAACAAGGCATCTCCTTCTTTTACTTCTTGCTTTGTCCTAGCCCAGGCAGTCAGGTTGCTGTTTTGGCCTGAGCACACCAATATAAGCATTTTTTAAAGAGGCAAAGGACATGTAATTCTCAGAAGTCATTCCTAACATTAGTTTGTGTTGGATAAGCACAAACAGATCAACCATAGTGTGCGTGCTGATACCAGACTGCAACATGGAATTTAAAACATATTTGAAGCAAAACAATTCCTTTCTCATTTTTCTTCCACAGCTGGAAAAATACATGTTTGGCAAGTTTTTTCTTTTTCCATAATATGAATCATGTTTCAGTCAGGGATTTTCATTAAACATCTACAATGACCAATTTCTATAGTTTGAAATCAATCTGCTTTGCAGCTCTGACACAGGAAACCAAAATAAAGACAAAACCCAGTGCTGTTCCACAGAATGAATCAAATGCCAAGAGTCTGAACTTGCTTGAATCTCCAATAATTAACTAAAGCCCTTTGTGCAGACAACAGTTTTAAGGACTTCTTTTCTGTTAGGAGCCACATGTGGCATTCCGGGTTGCAGGTGTGCATAAGAGCAGGCTGCACCTGCACATGTTTGCATACATGAGCAGATCACTTGGATTGGGAGTAATGATTGTTTCTGTGCCAGGAAGCTCTGTCATTTGGGAGGCTGAATTTTAGAAAAAAGGACATGAGTTCAAGCCCCTCAGTGTCAGGAGTGTCCACATAGAAGTGCCTTTTCACCCTATAGCTACTTCGCCTCCCATATAAATAGTTAACTAGCATAAACTACCACAAATCAACAGCAAGGATATAGCTAAAGCAGTTTAGGTACAAAACCTGCTGGAGCTTAAGGACAGGAGTTTTCAGCAGGTGGTGTATGGAAACTGGACTGCCCCTGGTCTGCTCTGAGAGGTCACAGTAGGTAACAAAATCAAGCATATTTGTCAGCAAGCTGGAATTCATCCTTGGCAGTGTTCAAGGCGAGGTAGAATGGTGCTTTGAGCAACCTGGTCTAGTTTGAGGTGTCCCTGCCTATGGCAGGGGGTTGGAACTGGATGATCTTAAGGTATTTTCCAACCCTAACTATTCTGTGATTCTTTAAAGAGACCCACAGCTGTGCTGGGACATTTTTAGGTGGCCTGAAAGCAAGAATAGAAAAACACTGGCTTAGATGGATCATTACTGAAGGTACTAGCAGCATTGGGACCAATACTCTGCCCAAAATTTATTTTGAACAGTGACAGTGTCAAGCAGCCCGTGTAGGGCTACAACAGCCACTTGGATCTGCTCCCAGCACAGCACCCATGGGGAAAGCCTTGCAATATCCTGTGGGTAATGTCTTCCTTGGGAGAAACTGCAACACTTTTTCCTTAACCTGTTTTTAGCTAGTCACCTGCTGACTGCCAGTAAGCATCGCTGACAAGCAGAGCTTCCTGGCTGCCTTGTTCTTGGGTGGGATATTTCTGATTCTTGGGAGGATGCAGCAAAGAGCAAGTTTGTACAGCTAAAAGAGTTCTGCTGAGTGCTGGGGACAATATATCCCTTCCCCAGTGCCAATATTGCCCCCAAAGCACCCTGCTCTAAGGAGAGAGCCAGGAAGCGTTGCTTTTCTCTGGCTGTGGAGGCACTGTGGGTAGCTGGGGACATTTCACTGACATGAGCACTGCTGCTCAGGGAGGGATCATGATGTTGCCATTTATAAGAACTTATGACTTGTGCAAAAGCTACAAGCAGGCACTTTTCTGCCAGACTACTGTAATCCTGCTGAAAACTGCAGAGACAAAATTCACCTTTTCCGGGCTCATAAAACTACACCCAGGGCACCTGAAGAGCAAGGAAATCGCTACATCTCACCAGAACAGTGGCAGGATGTTAAGAATATTATCAAAAGCAATATCAAAATCTATCAAAATGTATCAGGCTGGGCTCTGAGAGCCAAACATATTGCCACAGCATACTGAGTTTTACTTGGTATTTATAAGCCCACAGAAAAAAGTCACCTTCAGGAAAAAAAAAGAAGAAATGTGTAGAGCAATGGGCAGTTTTGAACAGTCTGAAACAAAGATATCAGAAGTAATTGAAAAGATGTTCTGGGTGATGGGAGTGTTAGTAACACAAATCAGTGGTTCATTGTGGACCATACTCTGTATTGTGTCCTTCGTGCAACTCCATAAAGGAAGAAGACACAGACAAGTTATAAAATATTTATAATTTTCCTTTTACTATGCCAATGTGCTCTGAAGAGTATCATCTTTAGGCACTGACTACAATCTGTCTTCATATTTACTTTACTCTTTAGATCTCCCCATCATTTCTCCACCCAGATGCTGATGTTGTTGAGTCACACTGTCCCTGAGTATTCTGATTCTTCCCACAGAATTGTGTTTTCTAGTCCCATTGTTCTGGTCACATGGACAAACCACCCCAGTTTCCATCTTCTTACTGCTTACATAGGCTCATGGGACCCAATTACTTCAGCTTCTTCTTCTCTGATGGTGCTGTTGGTCTTATTCACTGTTTTTGATATCTGTGTAATCCTTCAGAGACATCTGAATTCAAAGATATGAACCCCTTACTCTGCAGCAGTTGTGTTGACAGAGGACTACTGAGAGCACAACTGTCCTCTGAAGTTCTGCTTGGATGTGCCTGAGATGCTCTTAATCTTTCCAGATCTGGCAAACTGTGAGATTTGTCACCATGGGTGCATTAATTCCACTTTTCTATTTCTATTTTAAGATTTAAGATTATAACTCCACATTCTCCTAAGCAGATCTCTTATTGGCATTTCCATCCTTTGATATAAGTCCTTGCACTGACCTTTGCAGTAAGCACCGCTAGCCAGCTTTGTTGCTGTTCTGCTAACCTCAGTCCTTTACTTGCTATGCAAGTGGGATCACTCCAAAGCAGAGATTATTGACTTTCCTAGTTCTGGATGCTGACATTCCTAGCTGTTGCACAGGCCAGGTTAGCAGTCTTCTGCCCCTGCAGAATGAGGCCCAGGTATTGTAATAGAGGACTGCATTGACTACTGTACCCCTGGTGTGGAGGCTGTTGAGTTTATCATGACACACTTGACAAACCCGCCATACTTTGCAGAGATGTGTGAAAGCGTGATGTAATTCCTTCAGGTTATTGCTTCAGTTCCCTGAGCACATGCAAATCTCCTTTGGGCCCTTATTCATGCCCTAGGCTGGTGGCGGTATTAAGAGAAAGAGCTGGCTAGAAGGAAATTTAGGTTACGTTGCTAGAAGTCCTTAGGGTGTTTACAGTGTCTTTCAGCAACAGAAAGAGCAACAGCTCTGTTTATTTGGAAGTTCCTATTACCTGTCCTAATGTTTCATATATTACTTTTTTATGACCTTCTGGATGGTAACGTAGGACTTTCAAGTGCCTTGTTCTTGTCAAATACTGTCACTGTTTATCTGTTTTCTCAAGGCCTTTTTATTTCTCCTGTAATCTGATGCTTCTGCTTCTTCCATCTGATGTCCAAGCTGCAGTTGCCTTTCAGTTGCACAATTTTAGACCATCTTGGGCAATGCAGGTCTGTTTTGTCTTTTCTTTCCTAGTGATTCTTTAATGAAACTGTCAGTTGTTTCTGTTTTTTATCCTTCAGCAAGGGCAAAAACTTCCCTAGTTTAGACTTCTGCCAAAGACTTCTGTTGAGCATCCAGCTCATGCTTTCTCACAGGAT